TCCAGCCATTTCCCTCTCCAGTTCTTTCAATTTTTTCTTCTCCTCCGCCTCTCCCTTCTCTATGTTCAACCTATCCTCGTAATCCTTCTTCTGCTTCCTCTAATTAAGAACAACTGTGCAACAAAATATTAAACAAAAAAACCAAACCAAGAGCTGTGGCGAAATTTGAATCACTAGCTAATCTCTGCCACATTCTTGCCATGTCCTGCAAGCTCCTACGTGCCTGGCGCAACAACTCCTTATACTTGATCTTTCTTTATTTCCTGCCTCTTTTTCTTCTCCTCCATTTTCTTCTGCATTTTTATAGATTTCTCCATCGTCTTCCTCTCTTCCTCAAGTTTTTCCAACTCCTCATTCTTTGTCCACTTAAACTCCTCTCTCACCCTCTTCAACTCCAACGCCTTCTTCGACAGAGCTTTGGCTTAACCAACGAAAACATCCATATTGGAATTTCAGGTTTTTTCAGGGGCGGACTATAAGCATTAGCACAAACTCCATCGACCTTCAGTTCACCCATATTGTTCCCAAAAGTAAGGATCACTCTCAATAGAAGGTAAAACAATCCTAACAACATTATTATCCTCCAAGACCGCCAGAACCACCTCCGGCCTCTGCCTCCACTCGGCATTCGGCTGCTTTATAACGTGCTTAAGCTTATTTTTCCTTTTCAAGTCCAATATTTTACTGTAAGTAAGCCTATGGGATATTGCCGGAAGGTCCTTAACCCATGTTTTCAATTCCGCTGGGGTTAGTGTTCCCTGAACGCTTCTTTTCGGGCACTTTAACCTGCAGTGAAGGCTGGGACGGTGAAGCTGAAATTACTGTTAATGTTACAGAAAGCTTCAAAAATTTAAATTGGGTTTTTCTGAATTTTGATTCTTCTTCCTTCGCTTCACATATTATTGTGCACTTCTTAGAAAGATATGAAATTGAGGGTCGGGATATGTGTTGGGTGTACAGAAGAATTGAGGACAAAAATGAAGAATTGAGAATGCAGGCCATGAAATGAAATTAATTAATTACTTAGAATAACACAAGGGCTTACATTATCAGAAAAAAAATGGCTGCATTAGGCTTCTAAGAACACCACATTTCTAAGAGATTGATTTCTATATATTCCGTTACTGCAAGGCATGTACATTCGCGTGTATCTATCTATGCAAGAATGGCTGTAAAAGGGCTAATGGAGGGAGAGACGATGATTCTTGGGTTGAAATCCTTCTATTGAATCTTCGGGACATTTGAGTAGCTGTCTTGCAAGAAAAAAGCCCAACGGGCCTTCTGGGGGTGATCTCTTTTTCATTATATATAGAGGAATTATAAAAAATCAGGTGTTTAAA